AGTTTGAGACCAGCCTGAGCAAGAGTGACACCCTTTGTCTCTACTAAATAGAAAAAATAAGTCAATGTCTTGGAGAAAAAGAAAGTGGAGGGGACTATTACTAGATCAAAAAAAAACCAGCTTGGGCAACATGGGAGATCCTGTCTCTAAAAAAAAACAAACAACAAAAAACCACAAAGACCTAAGAGATGTAACTATCAATTGCAAAGTCTGGTCCTTGGTTAGATTCTGTTTGAAACAAACCACCTGCAAAATTGTCAGGCAACAGTTGCTGGGGGAAAAAAAATGACAAACCAGCTGCAAAAGACATTAGGACATTTTGGGGACAACTGGAGAAACGTGAATATGAACTGACCATTAGGTAACATTAGGGGATTAAAGTTAATTTTCTTAGAATAATGGTATATATAATTAGGAAAATGATTAAAAAAAAAAATCATAGACATACTGAAGTATCCAAAAGTCTGACTGAAATGTCGTAATGCTTATAATTTATTTAAAAATACTTAAAGGGGAAATGATGAGTATATTATGGAGAGGAGAACTTTTACTATTCTGTTTTCCTTTATATTTGAAGAGTCTCAAAATAAAAATGCTTAAAAAGAGAGGAGAGACCATTCTACGTTGGAGGACTGAGGGTAGTTGTAGAATTAGGAAGTGAAACGAAAAACACCAACCTAAATTAATGACTGTTTTAGGCTAAATTTAATACAGAAACTAACATGCAATTTGCTTGCTTGCCTCAGTATAAGATAATTTAATGTGCTACATATACTAGTACCCTAATTGGTTTACTATGCCTTATGTTGACAATAATATATAAGGACAAAGACATACAAATAAAGGGGAAAACTCAAAGTCTCCAAGTCTTTTAGTGAGGTTAGAAGTAGTCAAAGTCAGGGAGCTTTCTATTAGAGGTGATCTGAACTTATTTGACCAAAATCATCAAAAAAGTTTAACTTCTAACAGCACACTGTAAGTCAGAAAAACATTTGATGTTAAATATTTTAAAACATTTCTTATTTAATTACCTGTTTTGGTTGCCTTTCTAAGACTTGAGCTTTTAACCACGTTTCAACTTCTTCAATTTTCTTTTTATGCACAGCAAGTTCATGCTGAGATAAAAATTTCAAGTTTAAAATAAAATATTTTAACTCAAGGGTTTTTGGTATGTCAGCACATATTAACCTAAACATATTTAACTTAAAAAAGTAGCAAACCAGTAACATGCTATATTGTAATAAAAATGTTCCTTTTGATTACACTTGAATTTTTATATTACTACGAAAGAATTCTATTCTTAAGCTGATACCCACTGTATGATAATTTTGGCAAGTTTGCAATTAAAAAATATTTTAAAATCTAGGAACACATTTTGGGAAGGCAATAGGGAGAGGTATTATAAGGAGATCAATTCTAGGTTGGGGTTAAATTAAATCTAAGACAAAGAACTAATGTTACAACTTCAGAATAACTGGTGAGAAAAATCTGAGCCTTGGAACATTAAAAAAATCTAGAAATTATTGTTTTTTTTCTAACATTTAGACAGAAAGATTGTATGACTAAAAATCTGAAAATGTCTATGCTTCTCCTTCCCATTTACCTACATCCACCTTAAAATTAAATTATGTAGATGTGTTTGAATGCAATTAATACCTGAGTTTCTGGTTTATATTTATCCACCCATGGTTCATTTTCAGACAGATATTCTTTTGAATTTTCTAAACTGTAAATCTGTTCTATGGAAGATAGCTTTCCTCTTTTTCCAGCTCGAAATCTGCTACTTTCTAATGTGAAAGGCACATTTTTTCTTTTGTGACTTGAGTTATTCACACCCAATGAAGTGGCAGTAATAGTAGAGATGTCTGCAGTCTCTGAAAAATCATCAAAAGATGGGTCTACCCAGTCTGTTACCTGAAAAAAAAGAATCCATGTAAATATAGTTACATTTTTTTTGCATGTATTCTCTATATAACTAAACTACTCTGGAAACAAAATGTTCATAAATTTATAACATTTAAAATAAAAATCTCACAAATTAGGTCTTTTTTTTTTGAGACAGGGTCTCACTCTGTTGCTCAGGCTAGAGCACAGTAGTGTCATCATAGCTTACCACAACCTCAAACTCCCAGGCTCAAGTGATCCTCCCACCTCAGCCTCCTGAGTAGCTGGGACTACAGGTGCACACACCACCACACCCAGCTAATTTTTTAATTTTTTCGAAAGACGGGGTCTGGCTGTTACCCAGGCTGGATGAAGCAACTAATATTTTTACTATAAGAGAGGTAGGCTTTCTAGGGAGGATAAGATTGGTCACTTAGAAATGCCTAAGAAGAAGAGTACTGGGACAACAGAAGAGAAAATCAGTGCATTATATATTTCATGTTCTTCTGGTCTATAGAAACTGTTGACCTTCTACATTTCCCTCCATCATTTCCTTTTCTTTAAAATCCTTTGTAAATGCGTATAAAGGATGCTGAATTGAGCAATTTTAACCTAAAGATATTTAGGAGTATGGCCAGGCGTGGTGGCTCACGCCTGTAATCCTAGCACTCTGGGAGGCCAAGGCGAGAGGACTGCTTGAGTTCAGGAGTTCAAAAGCAGTCTGAGGAAGAGCGAGATCCTGTCTCTACTAAAAATAGAAAAAATTAGCTGGGCATGGTGGCACACACCTGTAGTCCCAGTTACTCAGGAGACTGAGGCAGGAGGATTACTTAAGCCCAAGAGTTTGAGGTTGCTGTGAGCTAGGCTGACGCCACGGCACTCTAGCCTGGGCAACAGAAAAGGACTCTGTCTCAAAAAAA